AGCCCGCTAGGCTCCTCTGTCCATGGAATTTTCCAGGCAAGAAAACTGGAGCAGATTGCCGTTTCCTTCTCCAGGAGATCTTCCCAATCTAGGGATCAAACCTACGTCTCTCGCTTTTCCTGCATTAAGCAGGAGGAGTCTTTACCACTGCACCTCTTGGGAAGCCCCAGGATATACTCTGCATATAAGTTAAATATTCAGGGTGACAGTATACAGCTTGTCTTACTCTTTTCCCACATTTGAACCAGTCAGTTTTTCCATTGAGAACATGATCCATCTGTTTTGCGTGGCCCTGCATGGCACGGCTTATAGCTTCATTGAATTATGCAAGCCCCTTCAACATGACAAGGTTGTGATCCCTAAAATGTTGTGTCTTTATAGCTTGCATCAAATTTGGAATATTTATAAACATTATTTCTTTTGGGACTCTTTAACTGCTGTTAGTTTGATATTGTCCCATAATTACTGACACACTGTTAGAGTTCTTTTCAGTCTTTATTTTTATTTTTTTTAATGTGCTTCAGTTAGGACAAATTATGTTTCTGTCTTCAGAGTTAGTAATATTTTCTGCTTCAGTATCTAATCTGCTGTTAAGCCCACCTAGTGAGATTTTTATTTTTTATATTTGACCTCTAGAAGTGCTATTTGGTTCTTCTTTATATGTTAACATTTGTCTTACAATGTTAATGCTTTTCTTTGAGTATCTGAATATAATTATTATTTTTGTTTTAAAATTTTTATTTGCTAATTGCTCTATCTATGTCACATCAGGTGTATTTGTGTTAACTATTTTTTATCCTGGTTTTGGTCACATTTTCCTGATTCTCAGCACTTTGTCACTAGATGCTGACCTTCTAAATGTCAATTATTGAGTGTTACACTTTGTTGTCTTCCTCTTTGTGGTGCTTTGTTCTGGCTTGAAAATTATTTGTGATTTAGTTTGATCCTTTCATGGCCTGTCTTTATGCTTTGTTAGGACAGGTCTAGAGTAACCTCTACTGTAGGGATAGTTTAGCCCTATTACCTGCAGAAGGCCTTTCGAGGATCTCATTTAAATGCACAACGTGATCAACAAGGATTTGGTACCCTTGCTGCTCAGAACTTGAGTGCTTTCTAGCCCTGTATGAATTCTGTGGACTGTTCAGCTGTTCGGTTTTCAGTTACTTTTTGCCTGGAATGCATTTTAGAATTCAACTAGGAGTCAAAGTTTGCCTTGAAGTTTTGTTTTTTTGTTTTCTTTTTTCAGTAGTGCCTTCTCCTCCAGAACTGTACTGCACAACTTTCCAGCTGCCTCGGGTTCCCTGAACTCTGCTATATATCTTCATAACTCGGTGGGACTTGCATTCTTTGTTTGGGATCCACGGTCCACAATTTGCCTCTAGGCAAATTTGCCACAGTTTGTTGTGAGCAACTCACTTGTTTTTTCTCTCTCTAGCTGTCTCTTGTCAGTATCCGAAAATAATTGTTTCATATAATCCATTCAGTTTTTTTATTGCTTATAGCAACTGGGTAAATCTGGTCCCTATTTAATCATGACTGGAAATAAATGATAGTTCCTTTAATTAAAAAAAAATTTACTTTGGAACAGTTTTGTATTTACAGAAAAGTTGTAAAGATACTAAGTAGAGCTCTGGTATCCAGTTTCTCCTGTTGTCAGCATCTTAATACAATTTTGTGGAACTTTTGTCAAAACTAAGAAACTGACATTGGCATAATACTGTTAAGTAAATATCTATAATTTTATTAAAAAAAAGAACAGCCAACCATTTTCCAAAGTCGTGCATTCTCACAAACAATGAATGTATCATTTTGAGTAGAAGAAACAGCTTTATGAAAATCACTTAGGTTGGGATACCACCATTTTAGCTAATTTGAAATTACAAAAATTAAGTAAAGAAAAGGGACTTAAACTTGCCAAGCCTTTGATTACAGATGACTCATGATAACAATAATAACTATAACAATAACAGTGGTGTTCACTGAATTCTTTTCTAAGGGCTTTACATTTATTGATTCATTTAATCCTTACAATATCCTTATGTTCTTGATATTATTATCCTCTAGTTCCGTAGATTAAGAAAGTGAAAAGGTCACTGATTTTCCTCTGCTCACGTGGCTAATAAGGTACATGCTGTCTGGCTCCAGGATATCTACTCTCTGATCCACTCTGCCAGTGATGATTATCAGTTGCACATCAGAAAAACTTGAGATGGCCTTGGGCATCTATATTTTGAAGACCACTGGTGATTCTTGTGTGTAGTCAGATTGAAAACATTCTAAACTACTGCTTCTTCATTATAATGTAGATAACTTTAGTGTGTTAAAATACTTTTTTATTTTAATGATAATAGTGAATAATTTAGTTCTTGTTTTGACTCAGACATTTTAAAGTCCTTTTATATAGGTAGAATGTTCAAACTACCACACAATTGCATTCATCTCACATGCTAGCAAAGTAATGCTCAAAATTCTCCAAGCCAGGCTTCAACAGTATGTAAACCATGAACTTCCAGATGTTCAAGCTGTATTAGAAAAGGCAGAGGAACCAGAGATCAAATTGCCAACATCCATTGGATCATCAAAAAAGCAAGAGAGTTCCAGAAAAACATCTACTTCTGCTTTATTGACTATGCCAAAGCCTTTGAGTGTGTGGATCACAACAAACTGTGGAAAATTCTTAGAGTTGGGAATACCAGACCACCTGATCTGCCTCCTGAAATCTGTATGCAGGTCAAGAAGCAACAGTTAAATGTACATGGAATAACAGACTGGTTCCAAATTGGGAAAGGAGTACATCAAGGCTGTATATTGTCACCCTGCTTATTTAACTTATATGCAGAGTACATCATGTGAAACACTGGGCTGGATGAAGCACAAGCTGGAATCAAGATTGCCGGGAGAAATATCAGTAACCTCAGATATGCAGATGACACCACCCTTACGGCAGAAAGTGAAGAAGAACTAAAGAGCCTCTTGATGAAAGTGAAAGAGAAGAGTGAAAAAAGTTGGCTTAAAACTCAACATTCAGAAAACTAAGATCATGGCATCCAGTCCCATCACTTCATGGCAAATAGATGGGGCAACAGTGGAAACAGTGAGAGACTTTATTTTGGGGGGCTCCAAAATCATTGCGGATGATGACTGCAGCCATGAAATTAAAAGATGCTTGCTCCTTGGAAGAAAAGCTATGACCAACCTAGACAGCATATTAAAAAGCAGAGACATTACTTTACCAACAAATGTCCATATAGTCAAAGCTATGGTTTTTCCAGTAGTCATGTATGGATGTGAGAGTTGGACTATAAAGAAGCTGAGCACTGAAGAATTGATGCTTTTTAACTGTGGTGTTGGAGGAGACTCTTGAGAGTCCCTTGGACTGCACGGAGATTCAACCAGTCCATCAAGGAAATCAGTCCTGAATATTCATTGGAAGGACTGATGCTGAAGCTGAAATTCCAATAGTTTGGCCGCCTGGTGCAAAGAACTAACTCATTGGAAAAGACCTTGATGCTGGGAAAGATTGAGGGCAGGAGGAGAAGGGGACGACAGAGGATGGGATGGTTGGATGGCATCACTGACTCAATGGACATGAGTTTCCGTAAGCTCCAGGAGTTGGTGATGGACAAGGAAACTTGGCATGCTGCAGTCCATGGGGTGACAGTCAGACACGACTGAGCGACTGAACTGAACTGAACAGATACAGGTAGAACTAGAACTAAAGCAAATATTTGCGGATTACTGAAGAATCAGTTATCTCTTTGTTTTGGTGTCTAGGCACTCTGCCTTTTTAACACATGCAGGTGTGTGTTGATGTGTGTGTGTATACTTACTTACATATTGTTTTCTGGCATAAAGAATTTTTAGAGTAATCTGATTAAGTAGTTAGATATTGCTTCCTGAGAGTAATGTTTAAAGACCTACTTACCTTAAAATATGGACACATTTTAAAAAATAAAATAGGGAATCATTTTGTGTGCACAAAGCAAGGAACAAAATGAATCATAGAATGGTTTAATTGGTTAAATTGTGTTAGGCCCAGAAGGTTAATACCCACACAAAATTGATTTAATCTAGCATATAGAAATCTTAAATTTATTAATTTTGTATCTTTCTTATTTTGTATAATAGACTTTTTAACATTTGATATTAGGCTATAAACTATAGAAGACTAAATTTTGTTTCAAATATGTGAAGGTTTATTATGAGGTATAATAAGATAGTTTTGAAAATCTAGTTCTCTGGTCTCAAAATCAGTGCTACAGATTTATTTTTAAAATTATTACTGTGTGATTTTCATTGGTCACTATTGTTTTGCTCTGAATAGTTGGCTGCTGACAATCGCATGAAGTCTCCACCAGAGAGTGCTAGAGATAACTTCAGTGGGGAATGTTATTTACTGAGGCTTGCCTGGACTTGTCAGCGGGTTAGACCTTTTTTATTTTTAGGAAAGTTTGATTTCTTGTTTACAAAATTCCGCTTACTGTGAAATAAATTCTGTATCTTGGCAGTTGAGTATTTCTACAGATATTGTAAATGATGAGTATTTAATCACTGCATTCTTGGTTCTCCTAGCTGTCTTGAAGTATCTTTGATTTGATTATTTTGTGGCGTTATCCTTTAAAAACTAAAAGTTGTGTTTTCCTATACATAGTAGTTGTTGATTTTTCTTAACATTATTAGGTGTTTTGTTGAAAACCTGCATAACTGAAAATGAACTAGAGAAACTAGTAATGTGTTTTATGAGGTTAAGAAATAATTATTTATTGTGTATCTTTTTAAAATAGAAAGTGAATTAGCAAATAGTTTTAATATTTGCATTTCTAGCATACAGTATTATTCTCAAAGTATTATTAATTATGTTGTGCTATGCATTTAGAATATGGTATGAAAGAAAGTCTGGCCCTTTTATTATATTCAGTAAATTTCTAAGTGAGCAGTTTACAGGGTGATTATCTAGCAGAAGTACTAAGCGATAATAACTTTTTTTCCCTTTTTTCTAGGTATCTTCACTCAAATAACATAGTTGTGGTTCCGGAAGGTAAATACACTTTCAGTTTTTACTAATAGTTAGGAGGTGCTAGAGTTAAAGCTGTGCTTTATCATAGTAGAACAGATTGTCTCTTTAAACCTATTTTGGTTGGAGTGTTAGAGAATTTTAATTATAAAGCATCATTATTAGTTTCAAAGCTTTTTTCTCCTCTAGTAAGTCTAGTTAACAGTTAAAATTAAATTTAATAAGTCTAAAATATTTATAATGGTTAGGTAAATTATTATCAGATAAATTGACATTGGGTAAATAATAAAATAACTTCTAAGTTTAATAAATTGAATTAAGCATTTTGGTTAGATAAAAAAGACTTTATATATCATTTCATGAATTGTTTATTCAAGCAGTTTTTTACATTGTTGTAACATTTTTATTTGTCTTTTTAAAGTTTATAGTATATTGAGGTAGAAGTGTTACTTCATAGAATGTTGTTTGATACTATACTGCAATAAAAATGTTTTAAAAAATTAATTTGATATATGCTTTTACTATTATGTCAGCACTAAAGATAGGGATATTAAATATTAAAATATTTAAACTTGGAGTAATTGCATTAAAAATTGGTCTTAACACTTGAGTCAAATTAATTTTGCTTTTACCCTTCTTTTCTCTTCAAAGCCATTGGGTCCCTTGTAAAACTACAATGTTTGGATCTTAGTGACAATGCCTTAGAAATCGTTTGCCCAGAAATTGGTCGTCTGAGAGCTTTACGTCATCTTCGATTAGCTAATAACCAACTGCAATTCCTACCTCCAGGTAATCACTGTCTGTAGCACAGAAGCTTCTTGTCTGTTGCAAAGCTATCTTTATTAATATTTCTCACTTTGTGTCTAGGCAGTGGGCTTTGGGTATATCTGTAAGTTTCTGATTGTCCGCTTGTTTGAGGAGGACGGTAAGGAATGTGGATGGGCTGTGACTGAAAGCCTTTTTCCCTGATGCAAATGCAGGAAGATGGCATTTACGTTTTTGAGCTGCAGTTACTACAGTTGTGCATTGCAGTCAGTGCCCATTCAAAATCACTGCCCTGGTGAATTATTTGTACCAAAAGCTACTTTAGTTTTGAATTTCACGTAAGGGAATTTATATGAACTTTGCATTTTAGTGTCTGAAAGCAGATACATGCAGTGTTTTCTCTCATTCTCTAGTGAGGTAAATGATGTGCATTAACTTTGATTTAATGTGAATCATACTAGAATTTAGTAGCAGAATTTAAGTTTGAGTTCTCAAACTAATTGTCACTTCTGCCTACTGATCATCCTATTAGATTATGACGTACATATAGACAGTACCAAAATCCTGCCTTCTCCTGAACTACCATTAAATTCTTTGACTTTCTTACAAGAGATATTCAGAGACCTTTCTTTGTGAACCCACACACTTGGAGATTCCTCTGTCTTATGTCATTTCCCATATTTGTAAAGCAGTGAAGTATGATTTTAAAAAATAGCTTGTGCTTCAGGTATTACATGAAAGTACTCTGCATTCAAAAATAAGCAGAAAAAAGAATGCAGACACCACTCACATTGACTGGGAGTATTTGTACCTACTAACTCTTGGTATTCCTGAGTCTTTTAGTGTATCCAAGTGAAATATATGACTCAACGAAAATTACAAATTACTGCCTGCCTTAGAACTTCAGGGATATATGAAGCTGTTAAAAACTACTCATGTTAAATCCATGAATGAATTTATAATTTAAAAAATACTTTCTCCAAAGTTTTTCAAGCACAGAAATTTCTAATTGAAACAGTAGTTGATTAATTTTTAGACTTTACATGCTGATTTTACTATATACATTCAATATTGTATACAAAAATGGTTTTAGCATAGCAGTTAACTCTGCTTAAAAAATATTTTTTAACCTCATTTAAAGTGTCTTACTTTTTACAACTCTGCTTAGTACAAAAATTTTTAATATGGTGTAGGAGTATGATCTTTGCTTTAAATTTTGTTGTATGTTATCAAACATATGCTTCATCATGAAGCTTGATTTCATCAAGTTTATATATTTACATACTCAGGAAATTAGATTCTCTTTCAGAGATTGTATAGAAAATGTATCAGCAAAGATTTACTTTAGATTTTTAGAGTATTTTTATGTATTAGCTTATATAAGATATATTATAGAGTCAAAATGCATGGATATAATACTGAATATTTTAGATTTGATAGTATTTTCAAATATGAAATTCGTAAAAGATATGTTATAGAATCAAAATGCATGGGTATAATACTGTGTTCATAAGTGCCTTTTTCTATACATTTAAAGAACTTACGAGTAACACAGCTCTCTATTAAAACATTGTTCTTTGTGTTCTATTCTTCTGTTTTTTTCCTGTAATGTAAGAACATTTTGTGGTAAAATGTAGCCATTTCCTTTCATTATATACTCTCAGAGGTTAAGGGTGTACTAATAATGTCATTGACTGCTTCCTAATAATCAGTGGAGGGTATAGATTTCCTGGCTACCATCATGTAATTTTAAATTTATATCTCACCTGTTTCATAATAGATTTGAAGCATTTACTTCTGATTTTATCTCCCTAGCTTATTTCTGTTGCTTGTGTTTGTTTTTGCTTGTTTTGAGTACAATGACATAAGTGGTTATCTATGTATTTTGAGTAGAAACTTTTGATTAAGCTATGTATATACTTTTTTTTTTTTTCTGGGCCATCATAAGTACAATGCTCTAGATCTTATTAATTTTTTAGTTCGCTTTATGTATGTCTTTATGACGTAATTTCAGTGTTATGATTTGAATGGGAGAGGGGCTTGGGTAAACATCTACCAAGTGTACCCAATCATTAGGGACATACTATGGAAAAATATTTTAACTGTAGTAAAAAATGTGAGGAATTGCCAGTTGGTGTCCATTTGATGACGGTAGACTCCAGTTGATACATTAGCCTCTTCTATTAATACATATTCCATGCTATTGGTATAGTCTTACATGTTATATATCTGTGAAAGACTTAATATTTTATTATGTGTATCTTTTTGTAGTTAAAAAACCTTTGGATATGGTTTCACATTCAGTATTTAAAATTTGAAAATTTGAGAGCAGTATTTGAAACATTTAAAATATCTAAATGGCTGATAGTTTTAAAATTAGGATCTAAGAATGGATTACAGGGGCTTTGTGAATGCCCTCAAATTGTATGAACAGTTTGGTGTTTGTGAGTATGTACGTATTGCTGTAAAGAAGGTCCAATGTGTTTATGAATTTCTCAAAGAGGTCCATGGCTCATATAGTTGATTCTCTTGGATTGTTTGTCAGTACCCATTCTTTGGTAATGTCCCTTCCCCCGCTTTTGTTGGATTGCAGAGTACTGCCATTTTTCTACCTTGTATATTGCTTTCTCCCCACAGTTCATTGATCCTGGTGTAGGTAACTCAAGCAAGACCAGTTCTCTTCCTGGGCATTTTGAAAGAGACTGTAGGGGAGAAGCAAAGAGAACAAGAGAGAATGGGAGGGTGAAAAAGGAAAATCAGGCACTCTTTTCTCTCTGGGCTTCTACACAATGCTGTGTAATCTTGTGAAATCTGGTAGTAGTCATGTGGGCAGGAAAACAAAGAGAAAAAGATGAAGTAGATACCTCGAATAAGATGGAGTCAGAGGCTTTCTAAGTTTTCTGTAATTTCCTAATCATTGATTCTGTTTTTAAGGCCCATGAAGTGAAGTGTTAGTTGCTCAGTTGAGTCTGACTCTTTGTGACCCCTTGGTCTGTTCATGGAGTTCTCCAGGCAAGAATACTGAAGTGGGTTGACGTTCCTTTCTCCAGGAGATCTTCTGGACCCAGGGATCAAAGCCGGGTCTCCTGCATTGCAGGCAGATTCTTTACCGTCTGAGCTACCAGGGAAGCCGCATTTAGGCCCATAGACTGTGCTTAAGCTAGCTCTAATTGGCTTCTGTGAATTGCCACTCAAAGAACTCCATGTAAAATGGCAACCTCAAAGGCTTGATTTTTGTTTATTTTGCATAAGTAAAAATTGTATATATTTAAAATAGACAATGTTATGTTTTGACATATGTATATATTGTGAAATGATTACTACAGTCAAACTAATTAACATACTTGTCACCTCTCAGTTACCGTGTGTGTGTGTGTGTGTGTGTGTGTGTGGTTCAAACACTTGAGATCTACTCTCTTAGCAACATTATTATTCAGTTATCTTTTAAAAAACCTTTTTTTATGGTAAATTTTAAGCAGAATAGAATAATAAGCCCTATATACCCAGTACATAACTTTAACAATTTATCATGGATTTATCCTCTCTTATATTTTTCTTTTGTTCTTCTTATTTTTACCCTCTTTTTTAAAGTTTTTTTTTTTTTTTTAATTAGGGTAAAATTGACACACAGTGAAATGCTCAAGTGATTAGTCCTGAGTTTTGACAAATGTATGTACTCATGTAACCAGCATCTTATTTGAGATACAGAACATTTCCATTACTCCAGAAGGTTCTCTTACACGATTTCCAGCTGATCTGTTTGCTATAGGCAAACTCTATTCTGATTTCTCTTGCTATAGATTAATTTCGTCTGTTGTTGAAAATGAAATAAATGGGAACGTGCAGTTCTCTGTTGACTTTCACTCAAAATAAAGGTTTCAGGATGCATCCATGCTGTTGTATGTGTCAGTAGTTCATTATCTTTTTTCTGCAGAGTAGAATTCCATTGTATAAACTGCACTTTATAACTTATTTTCTTCTTAATGGACATGTCAGTTTTTTTCTCACTTTGGGCTATTATCAATAAAACTAATATGCATGCATGTATGTTAAGTTGCTTCAATCGTGTCCAAGTCTGACTCTTGACAACCGTGTGGACCATAACTGGCCAGGCTCCTCTGTCCATGGGGTTCTCCAGGCAAGAAGACTGGAGTGGGTTGCCATGCCCCCCTCCAGGGCATCTTCCCGACCCAGGGATCAAACCCACGTCTCTTACATCTCCTGCATTGGCAGGCGGCTTCTTTACCACTAACACCACCCGAATCCCTATAGACATTCTTGTTTAAGACTTTTTATGGATTTGCATTTTCATTTCTCTTGGGTAGATATCTTTTAGGGGAAATGTGATACATAATGTAGATATATGTTTAACTTTGTAAGAAATTGCCCAGCAGTTTTTTTTTAATTTTTTAAAAAATTATTTATTTTATTTATTGTAATTACTTTACTGTATTGTGGTGGTTTTTGCCATACATGGACATGAATCAGCCACGGGTGTCCATGTGTCCCTACATCCTTACCCTCCCTCCCCATCCCATCCCTCAGGGTTGTCCCAGTGCACCGGCTTTGAGTGCCCTGCCTCATGCGTCAAACTTGAACTGGTCATCGATTTCACATATGGTAACATACATGGTTCAGTGCTTTTTTCTCATATCATCCCACCCTCGCTGCCTTCTTCCACATCATCTCATCTCCACCTTCTCCCACAGAGTCCAAAAGTTTGTTCTACAAATCTGTGTCTCTTTTGCTGTCTCGCATATAGGGTTGTCGTTACCATCTTCCTAAATTCCATATATATGCGTTAATATACTGTATTGGTGTTTTTCTTTCTGACTTACTTCACTCTGTATAATAGGCTCCAGTTTCATCCACCTCATTAGAAATAGCTGAGTAATATTCCATTGTGTATATGCACTACAACTTCCTTATCCATTCATCTGCGATGGACATCTAGGTTGCTTCCATGTCCTAGCTATTGTAAAGAGTGCTGTAATGAACATTGGGTTACATGTGTCTGTCTCTTT